GAACAGGAACCTGCTGTAAAACAGCAATTATGCTGAGTCAGGCTTGATTTTTAGTAATCTTTTCCTGTTAAATCAATAAATAAAATAAAATCAAATACACGTCAGAAAACCTGAACTATCCCTTTAATGTCCTTTAATCCCATCAGTTCAAATGTAGGTGTTTTTGATGAATGGCGTTGTTTCACCAATCAGGCTGCTTGACATCGAAGACACCGTACGCCCGCTGCTGCTGCTCATACTGCTGCTGCTTCGAGATTCTGACAGAACTGAGAGGCTGGACCTTGAAAACGTGCTGGACCGTGACCCAGAACCTGATGTTGTTCTTGATCCTGAAGATCCAGCTGATGAGCGTCCCGACCGGGCTGTGGGTCCAGATTTAGAGGTGCGTGCAATTATGGAGGACACGTCTGAACGCTCAGACCTGGACGACAGCTCAGAGATGGAAGACATTTTGGTTTTTGAGGTTGCATCTGATTCGTCTGAAGGGGATTCAGTGGGCCGGTTCTGTTCTGGGTCCAGTTGTGCTTGAACAATGACCCTGATGAAGACAAACAAACCTTTTTTATTATTTTATTTCCCAAAAAATCTGTTTGTTTTTGGGCAGAAGTGCTGATGCCACAGGAAATGGCCAGTAGTGTAGACTGGATCCAACATGTCTACAGAAAGTTTGTATTGAAGGTCAACTTTCACGACACTATTGTTACAGACACAATACTGAGATATTCCAGTTGTGAGTGACTCACGTATTGTTTCCTCCACACAGCAATTTACACACCGACCACAGATAGAAGAAGCCCCCAGCCATGTGGAAGGCTGAGCCCACCCAACCAAGGAAGAGAGGCGTGCCGAGGTCGTACCTGTACAGGTTACACACAAAATCTGAGATATTATGTAAAAGTTTCAGTTATACAGTACTGGAGTGGTTGTTGCCAAAATGTAATAATGACTGGTAAAATATAGCATTAATTCTAAAGTTTTATGTATCCACCCAACAATCCATCCATCCATCCACCTGTCCGTCCATCCATCCACCCAACCATCCATCCATCCATCCACCTGTCCGTCCATCCATCCACCCAACCATCCATCCATCCATCCACCTGTCCATCCGTCCGTCCGTTCATCCATCCGTCCGTCCGTCCGTCCGAACATACATCAGTACATACATACAAACTTTCAACCATCCATCCTTCCATCCATCCGTCCGTCCGTCCGTCCGTCCTTCCATCCATCCATCCATCCATCCATCCACCCTTCCGTCTGTCCGTCCGTCCGTCCATCCATACATCAGTACATACATACATACTTTCAACCATCCATCCATCCACCCGTCCATCCATCCATCCATCCATCCATCCATCCATCCATCCATCCATCCATCCATCCCTTTCCAGAGCCACCTCCTCCAGCTCTAAACGTGCCCTAGACCAAATGAGACCGAGGCCCTTTCCCAATCAGTGGCTACACACTCGCCCTACTCCCTACTCACTCAGTTTGCATGTTCCCACGGAGGGTTGGTCATATTAAGTCCCATCTGAAACCAACTAGGTACGAGGGCGAGTGGCTTATTAAGCCCTCCTCAGTGATCTACATCCAGTGCAGACTTAAGCAGCATGTGCAGCACCAAATAGTGGTCAAATAGTGGTTATACGTCCCATGGAGAATGGGACGTGTAAATATAATATATTATATGCATTTGTTTTGTACACATACTGTATTTACTAAGTAAATACCTCACCAACAAATATAATTTCACATAACTCATGTTTAATTCAATGAAAACTTTATTAAAGACACAGAACTCTGGTCCGCATTTAAAAAATAAGAAAGGAAACATTAAAAAATAAATAAAAAATAAATTATTTTTAAAAAAAATGTTAAAAGTGCAATTATTTTGACAAGTTATATCTGAAAACTCTGTAAAATGTGGGCCTAATTAAATGTTTTCTTTGGTCTTATTTAAAAAAGCATTTGTTCTCCTGCATTCAGTCGCTGCCAGAGGTTGGACTGTTACCATGGTGACGACAGCTTCCTGTTCCGGTGGTGTGAGGACAGCCCGTATCAAAAGAGGAGGGTGTATACAGCGCCATCAAGGGGACTCAGTTCAGCTGTGAGGGTGCTTCACAGCGAGTGTAGTTTATAGGGAGTTGGGCGAGGGTGCAGCCACTGATTGGGAAAGGGCCAGGGTCTCTCCAGAGTGTCTTGAGTCTTCATCGGGGTCTCCTCCCAGTTGGACAAGTCCAGAGCACCTCCCTAGGGAGGCGTCCAGGGTTCATCCTTAGATGAACCCACTTTGGACTTCCTGGATCTGAGATCTGGTTCTTTCAGTCATTGCCTAGAGTTCCCAAACATAGGTGGGGTTAGGAACCTGAGGTAGACCAACTGCTGATAAACAATTTTACTTTCTTGTGCATTAGAATTAATGTGTTTCTTGTCAGGTCTTAAAATATGGTTACAGTAATACAGGCTCATGAACTGGATTATGAACCCAGGATCTTCTTTCTTCTTGCAGTTCTACCCACAGACCACTGTGCCACCCAGTACCACCAAATTACAAAGCTCTTTCATATTTTAAGTAGTAAAAATGGTTAAATTGTCCTATACTTTCCATTGATTGCTGTATTTAGTTACTCTTAAGACCTGTTGAGGATTGGAAGATATTTCTCTTACTCTGATTTGATGCATAAAACTTTACAGTTGAAATACTTGTATTTTATTCATACCACTGCTGTGTTGAGTCCCATTAACTTACTTGAGTCCAGTGAAGTTAGGGTTGAAGTAATCWATAGAGACATACTGTGCATAAACACCATATCCAGATGAGGACAGTGCACCTGAAGAAAAAAACATTTTGAGACACAAACAAACAAAACAAAACAAAAAAAGATTTAAACTTATTTGTYCAGGTTAATGACATGGTCATAAATCTTATTTTTGTTTTAGTTTTTCAGATATATGTTTATTTTAAATGTAACTGATAGGCAAGTTTTGCTATTTTATAAACCTAAACCATATGTTTAGTGTCTTTTCTGAGTTATTTAAGAGAAATTTCAGGTTCCTAAAATCACTTTCACTGAGCATTGACAGCTGGAGACTAGTTTGCAAACGGTATCTGCAAAATAATCTTCATTCTCATTTTTCTTGTGTGAATTGTAGAGTTGCCACATTGTTGAACATGTAAAAAAATACTTGTGTGTACTCCAGTAGGTTAAATCATAAATATGGGGCGACTGCCAAGGTGAGTACTAAAGGTCAGAGTTGTAAAATTACTAAGTACAAATACTTTGTTACTGTACTTGAGTAGAATTTTTTGTTGTCTGTACCTTACTTGAGTAATAATTTTTTGGCCTACTTTTTACTTTTACTCCTTACATTTTACACAATTATCTATGCTTTCTWCTCCTTACATGTTTTAAAAAGGTAAGAAGTATCACTCGAGTATCACTTTGACATACTTTATACAAGACTGCTAAAAGTGGGCAATACTATTGTTCACATGATTTGGTCATGTGAACAGGGGGATTGTGAAGAAATTTAGTGTTAGGCAGGTTAGTACTGATTTTAGAAGCACAACAATATATTCTTAAGTTCTCCTTTTTGAAATATTGACAGTGTTTAATCTATTGTTATGTCTTGATTGAAATAGGTCTAGTTACATGTCCGAAACATTTTTTCAACACATAAATAACCGCTTGAAATACATTAGGTGAGAATTGTGTCTGAATGCCTGTGACTCAGCCTAGGCCAGCAGGGGCCGAGCGAAGGCACTGAAGAAGCTGTATAAAAACGTAAACGTCCGGTTTTATGGCCAGTGTGGGTTTCCTGTTTGCTGAKAGCAGCAATAAAKCTCCACTCAGGTTCCAGATTCTGGTGTTGTATGGTCTTCATTCCTCCTACAAATCACTTTATTTAACATCTGTGTTTATCATCTCGACTTCAGTTGATTGAATACAAATTTTCTTGCACTATGAATTTTGGTGTCAATCTGATACCAAGTAAACACAGAGCTAATATTGCTGATATTAATACTTTCTGCTTAAAACTTCTTATTTCTAATTTTGCCTTTAGTCAGTCGATCATGATAAAACACAGGACAAAGATTTAGGCAAATAAAGGTGTTTTCTATTAATTACAGCATTATAAAAATAAAATTAATAAAATAATTTCCTTTCTATCTTCTTCTACACATAATTGTTTAAGAAATGGTCACTAGTACAAAACGACAAACAAAACAAAAACAATGCAACAAAATTATAAGTATTACAATGTCAACATTACAACAAATGATTTAAACAAAAATGCCTGCAGCTCACTGGTTGTTTCGTCTCAAAATTCAGTGAAACAGCAACAGAAAATTCAACTATTTTCTCACAATTTTCTTGGACTTTTTAGTCACCACATTGTCTCTAGCAGTTGCAGCCCACTGAGCATGGGAATATGTTACTGATGGCACCAAACGTAGGTGCAGTCATTTAAAAAATAAACAAAAGTCGAGTTGTTTTGAACTGAATTCTGGAAAAACACTCAGGATAATTCACTGATGCTTCACAGATAAATCATATTTATTCATGTGTTGTCTAGTGACGTTCTTATGAAGACGAGACATTTACCACTGATGATGTGACAACATCCACCTGTGAAGATCTTCTTGTACTTGGACAGGTCTTTTCCTCCGAGGTAGGTGCATTCCATACCCAACAGGCTGAGTATAAACCCCAGCATGCCCACGGAGAGAGCCCCCATCAGAAGGCCGCGCACTATTTGAATGTGACCTGGAACCACACGAAAATGACAGGAATGTTTTTCTAAAAACAGATTTCCCAAGGAGACTTGAAAAACAGCAGCAAGCATTGACGTACCCTCCACAGACCAGAGCACGGGGAAATCGTAACAGTTGGTGATGGCGGTTGAATCTGTAAAACAGGATCTCCATAAGCTGGACCAGTGCCAGGCCACCTTAATGATGGATGAGCCTCCCATACCACCAACAGAAGAGATCTTCCAGCCCTCCATGGCCATAGTGCAGGCCACAAAGATCCAGCCCAACACGGTCATCAGGAATCCCCAGATCTGGACCACTCTGATCTTCATTTTTGGACCTGTCCGTTCACTCAAGTCTCAAACTTTTCTATTTATTCTTAACTGTCCTTTTCACAAGTTTTGGTCCCTCAGTAAAGCAGAAACATTTATCCTGGTCCCAGTCTGAGTTTCCATCCAGAACTCCACAGAGGTCCAACTCCTCAGCACCTCTTCAGACAGAGTGGACACATAGTGGACTGAAAGAAAGTGGACTTGCTGAACAGGTGTTTTATTACATGTGGTGAGAGACTGCAGCCTCTCTGGTTCCCATGACACACAACTAAGACTTATCAGTTTTAAATCTGGACATGAAAGTGCTTAGACCAGCAAGTATCTCATGTTGCTAAAAGACTCTAACTAGAATCTAAAATGTCTCTGAAAGTTTAAAAATTCAAAGCTTTGATCATGAAATAAGTACAATAACTTTGCTGAAAGCAGGTTTGAGATTAGTTTCATCATTAAAATGGCAAAATTAAATATTCTGTTTGTGGTCTTGTTGGATATCTCTTCTCACATTTACAATTAAGCTTTGAATTACACAACTTTAAGTTAATTTTAGAGTCAGTGCAGCCATGTACAGCAGAACTTCACTTCCAAAGGTACTATTTAGCAGTGACCAATGAGGTGTTAGAGGTTTCTATATCGAAGTACAATTCTGTATTCAATGTCTCAAAGTAACACACTCTAAAGATTATGGTGAAACACCCCCACCAAGAGGCAAAAAGCTCACTGCAAAAAATAAGCTTCAAATACTAGATTTTTCTGCCAGTGCAATAAGGCTATTGCATTTGGTAATACATGATCAAAAAGACCATTTTGGATGGATTTAGGATTTTAAGACTTGTTTAGATGGACAATTGGTGCAGTGTTGCAACATCATCTAAACTGAAAATTGCTTTGACTGTTTACTGATGCACGAGAGTTGTAAAGTAACTAAGTACAAATACTATGTTACTGTACTTAATTAGAAATTTTGGTTATCAGTACTTTACTTGAGTAATTATTT